TGTTCGTACACAAATTATCAGATCTGCAGTGAGTAAATTATCATTTTATGACATAGAATTTATTGGAGGCATGTTTTCAACAACTTCCTTTTCCCCGGATCAAAGGTACCTCGATGATCGGACGTAAGTTGTCAGGTCTACGGCTAGTAAATTACCATACTATTTAGACAGAAGTTACGGGGGCATGTTTGAACAACATTTGTTACAGAGTCAAAGTTACCATGGTGTTTGATTGTAGGTTATCAGCTTTATGGACTACGATGTGTAAATTATAATGCTATTTACACAGAAGTTATCGGGCACAAAAAACTAGAACTTTTTTTACTATGTTTAAATAATTTTTCTAGGTCGACAATTATCAACCCGACACTTTAAAATTTACCAATTTTGTTTCATATGGTGTTACCGGCAAAAAAATTGTGTCTACGCTTGATAACAAAAACATAAAGAACAACTTCTAAGAAAAAACCATCATTGTGAAATTTCAAAAAAAAACATGTATACCACCTGGTGGCATCACTAGAAGCAAATGAACTACTGTGAAACATGCAAAAAAACAATGAAATCATTGGCCCTACTTTTCTTTTCCAATTTCATAGTAAAGCTTAGGCGAGTTGGTGGTTGCCGTAGGAATCAATACACGAGGGTTTCAGATCTGTTCCCATCGATTCCTATTGTTAAGAGATTATCTCTTAACTAAGAGAAGACAAGTCTTTTCATATGGTGTCTTTTTCTTCACCTTAGCATTTATCTTATGCGACATTATTAAGATAACACCACTGTACACGTCCTTAATGTGGCATCAATTTTTTTGCCTATTTAGCTTTCTCGATTCCTATTATTAAGAGATTATCTCTTAATCAAGAGAAGATAAGTCTTTTCATATGGTGTCTTTCTTCTCCATCTTAGCATTTATCTTACGCGGCACTACTAAGATAACATCATTGTACACGTTCTCAATGTGTTGATCTTGCACTGTTATAACTGTCCACATGATATATTGGCTCTACTCATTCTCACCTCATTCTATCCCATGCATGTGGGTGTTTGATTGCCAATTTGCCATGCATGCACACGAGAAGGTCAGTAATTGAGAGCGGGTAGTAGTAGATTTGAAAACGGCAACCAACCTGGAAAAATTAATTAAGAGAGACATCTTTTCTTATGGTGTCTCTCTATTCCACCTTAGCATTTATCCTGTACGATGATAGTATCATTGTAGGGGCTTCTCGGCTTCTCCCATTGGCAAATTTGACAAATCTGACCTATAGACGAAATCAAATCACGGAATGAACTGTCCGTGAAACTATTTCACACGCCTGACCTTTTTGTGTAGCGCCCGCCACGACGGCGCCACACTACACTGTGCAACGCCTCACAGATAGGCGCTACACGGCCAGCGTCATACCCGAAAATTACTAAAACAGTGTACAGCGCCTGAGAGCTAGGCGCCACACTATACAGTGCAGCGCCTAGCTCCCTGGCATTGCACTAGTGCAACGCCTAAGAGCTAGGCGCTGCACTAGTGCAATGCCAGGGAGCTAGGCGCCACGGGTCAGCTGCGTGAAATAGTTTGACGGACAGTTCATTCTGTGATTTGATTTCGTCTATAGGTCAGATTTGTTAAATTTGCCTCTCCCATTCAACACGGGTGATTTGATCCATGACATCATTAGCATACGAGAATGCAAGAATGACAGATGGTGAGGCAATGACTTAGGAGGATTTGTAGTGTGTGTGTGCTACTTGTGCTCCAAATGCTCAAATGCATCTAGGTGACATTGGCTTACGCCCAAAGCGAATGACATGATGCCGCTTGGGATACAGGAGGCATTGGCGCGCAAATGGTGGTTCCACACTGGTTCGGAGCACGCCCGAGTGATGAATGAACATTTTCAGGTTTTTTTGTCGTGAGCTTCTCCTGCTCTTATAGTCCGAGCTCTCTATGCCTTCCTCGTGCCAGGCGTAATAGTTGTGGGTTGATTTTCCTTATGCATCATAAGTACTATCTCCATTTCAGTTTATAAGTCCTACGTGTATATCTAGGTTGTCAATTTTATCACCTTAATATAAACTATATAACACAAAAATTATACGGTTTGAAAATAGAGCATCTGAAGTTTATATTGGTATATTTTTTATAATATATGACTTGTATTAAATTGGTCAAATTAACAACCTAGAGGCACGTGCACGCCCTGTAAACTGAGAGAGAGGTAGTAGGCCGGCACGGTTCTCCGCATGAGGAAGCAATCCTACAATAGAGATGGTGGATGGTGGTATTGATGGTGATGATCTTATCTCTCTTGTTTCATTCATGCCTCCTCTAGTGAATACAAATGATCTAACCCTCAGTGGCTAGATCAAAATGAACTAGACGTACGTGCATCATGGTTGAAAGCATCACTCAAATCTAATACTTTCTCCGGAGTGATACCCGCAACTTACACATCTGTCTGGTTGCCGTGCTATATCAATGATGTATTTTCGTCTTGAAACACAACAGAGGATTTTGGTAGACGATAGAAAATATAAGAAGATTGTTGCGAGTCCAGCGGCAGACTTCAATGATGATGAGCTCAACACAACATTATTGTACTTGGTTCCGTTTTTCTTATGGAGATGATTTTGTTCGACTGCGACGCATTGTATCTCCCACGACAATTTATGGTAGATAACGAGGCTGTTGCGCGGCTCGTGGCAGACAATGACCTCAACATAATAGCCCGTTCTTTTTTCCGATTCGCTCGATCGCGATGCCCGGAATCTTCCATGATGATAAGTCATGGCGGTGTACTTTTCCTTGGACAACAAATTTGTGAAGATAGTTATACTTCCTCCATCTCATAATATAAGAATTTTTTGACACCAGTATAGTGTTAAAAACGTTCTTATATTTTGGGAGGGAGGAAGTAACTTATAAGTTAAGATTGAGAGGAGGGAGGAGAAGTGACGTGTAGCCGTGTGGGTCTTGATGCAGATGGCCACCCTGAGGTACCACCGGCACCATATCATACTCCATGAATCCTCATGCAAAGTCAACTTGGCCGAGGAAGGAAGGAAGGAAACAAATGGGAGGAAACAGATAGATAGATCCTGGTCAACTCCTTAAACAACAACGTTCCAAACTAGCGCCAATGTCAACTCTACCCGTCTCCCCCTCCCCTTCTCGGATATGTCGCCCATTTGTCTCGGCCCCGATGCGCATCCAGATCCGGCGACACGCCGATACGCCGCCGTTTCCTCCTCCTCCACCGCCCCGGCCTCGTCACTTTCATGGGCAACCGCGCGGCGAGGCTGGCCACGCCCTGCTTCGCGTCGGGGGGGCGGTCGACGGTGGACGCGTCCGCCGCGGCCCGCGCGGTCGCGGCCGGCGGGGATGGTGGTGGTGACTGCGTCGGCCAGATTCTGAGCTTTGACGGCTATGATGCGTTCGACGGCGCCACCATCCACGGCGTGCTGCTCCCGTCCAACCAGTCCACCATCGGGACCGCCGCCTGCTCCTCCTCCAACTCCTTCTCCAACCAGCTGTCGCTCTCGGCGTCGTCCTCCTGCGACAGCTCCAGCTCCTTCTCCTTCCGCACGCTCCAGCCGGGGCTCTTCTCGGGGAGCCTGGACTACTGCGCGTCGCCGTCGTCGTCGTCGTCCGGGCCGAACTCGGGCGTGCTGTCTTCGGCGGCGTCGCGGCGGGGCGCGCGCACTGAAGAGGAGATCATGGCGGACCTCTACGCCACGCGGCGCCGGCGCCGGTGCCAGATCGAGGAGGCCGCGTCCGGGAGCCCGCTCCTCGACCGCCTCCGCCGCGCCGTTGCGTCGGTGCTGCGCGTCGGCAGGCCGCCCAAGAAGCAGCAGCGCGACGAGCCCGCGGTCGTGACCACGGTGGCCAGCAACGGCGGCGGCGGCGCGATCAGGAGCAACGGCGAGAACGGACACGCGGCGGAGGACAAGGTGCAGTGGGCGCGCGGCAAGGCAGGGGAGGACAGGGTGCACGTCGTCGTGTCGGAGGAGCGCGGCTGGATGTTCGTCGGCATCTACGACGGCTTCAACGGCCCGGACGCCACCGACTACCTCGTCGCCAACCTCTACGCCTCCGTCTGCCGCGAGCTCCCCACCGACCACGACCCTCCTCCGCCCGTCGACGAGCAGTGGCGGCCGCCGTCGTCGTGCGACGGCAGAAACAGCGCCGACCTGATCCGGCGGCGGGGGCGGCACGGCGCGGTGCTGGACGCGCTGGCGCGCGCGCTGCGGCGCACGGAGGAGGGCTACTTCGCGGAGGCGGAGGCGCGCGCGGCCGAGTGCCCGGAGCTGGCCATGATGGGGTCCTGCGTGCTGGTGCTGCTCATGAAGGGCGCCGACGTCTACTCCATGAACGTCGGCGACAGCCGCGCCGTGCTCGCGCACCGGGCCGAGCCCGACCTCACCAGCGTCATCATGCCGCCACGCCACCGGCGCCAGCACAGCGCCGACGGCCACGGCCACGTCACGGAGGAGATCAGGCGGCAGTTCGACGAGTGCGACATGACGGAGCTCGTCGCGCTCCAGCTCACCATGGAGCACAGCACCACCGCCTACAAGGTGATCCACCGGTCAACTGCCATGTTCCATGATCGAACACCCTCTTCTGTAACATATACTATGATCGTTTGTTAATTATAAATTGATGTTAATTTTCATTGATGGATGCAGGAGGTGAAAAGGATAAGGAGTGAGCACCTTGATGATCCTGCCTGCATAGTCAATGGCAGAGTGAAGGGCTCCTTGAAGGTCACAAGAGCATTTGGAGCTGGCTACCTAAAAGAGGTTTGTCTGTCTGTCAAATGTCAAGCAGTATCAAAATATAAGACATTTTTTGATACTATCATAGTGAATGGCAGATCATGTCTTATATTTTTTTTGACACTATCATAGTACCAATTAAAGTTCATGCACATATGTATGTAACCAAATAAAGTTCATGTGATGTAAGGATAACTAGGTAGAATCATCAGTTTGAACTACCAATTATTTTTTCTTTTAGAAACCGTTACTAACATGGGGAAGTTCGATGTTGCAGCCGAGGTGGAACAAGGCTCTCTTGGAAGTTTTTCGGGTGGACTATGTTGGCGTCTTGCCTTACATTACTTGCAAGCCGTTCCTCCGACACCACTGCCTCGGGCCGCGGGACAAGTTTCTTATCCTCGCCTCGGACGGGCTCTACGAGTACTTCACCAACGAGGAGGTGGTGGGGCACGTGGAGGCGTTCACCTCCAGGTTCCCCGATGAGGATCCTGCCAAGTACCTCAGCCACGAGATCCTCCTCCGCGCCGCCAGGCAAGCCGGTGAGCATGCAACATTTCACTTACCTAGCTGTGTTTTATGTTAATTAGATATGGAGACATGCTTTTTTAGTTGTTTCAGCCAAAACATGAACTTTTTATACTTGTGGAAATGTCGTGTGATTTTTTTTGTTATGATGAAGGAATGGGGTTCCATGAGTTGCTCGAGGTACGGCAAGGGGATCGGCGACAGTACCATGATGATGTCTCCATCATCATCATCTCATTGGAGGGGAAGATATGGAGATCTTCAGCCTGAATTGATCATGGTCGAATACAAAACTATAATGGACTCTAGTGATAGCATACATGGTTGCATTTACGGTTTTCGAGGATTAGCCCATGAGGAGAGTAGTGCATAACAAAATTTTGTACTTATAAGTGATGGTTTTTTTTCTTGTTTTGATCGTGCTTTACATGGTTGAGCGCTTGATCGTGGGATTCTTTGGGCAAATCTACAAGTTTTACCCATCAATGCTAAACCAACGGATTAAAATTGTAAGTTTGATTTTGGAAAACACCGATAGAGAATCAACATTTGGTAAAACGAAAAAGTCTCGCGGTGTCCATGCTTACCCTTTTGGGTTCAAGTAGCTACACTCTGCTCTCAAACTAGGTGACTCACCCTCGTTTAGTAAAAAAGTGCAGAGGGGCTTCTATCCTCTTGTTGTTTCATTTAAAAAACGCTACTAGCGGTCTCATTAAGACAACCAAATCTATTTTATTTCCTGTATTTGCAATGACATAGTTCTAACCAGTGAGAGTACAGTCAGAAAAATAATCAGTGAGAGTGGGTTCACTGACAATTGGTATGCACAATCAACCCCCTCCTCCCACCTATCATGTAAAACAAGGGGTATGTACAATTTTGTTTTTGTTTTTTTGGAGTCAATTTTTTTCTACAAACACATTTTTGCAGTAAGAGAATGGTGGAACTAACAAAAGCATGATTAACATGGCTTAAATTATAGAGCTTAAGCATATGTTTCGTTCAGATTATAAGTTTATCACACAAGCTCATATTCGTTGGTTTCAGAAATAATTATTTCTAAGCCAACTGGATTGCACAAAGTTAAGTCAAGACTTACAAAAAGTGTTCTATGGAACCTTGGGTTAGAAGTGTGCAACTGCCGAGTTGCACAATTTTAAAACTTAACACTCCATACGATCACTAACGCATCAATTAACCAAGTCCTCCTAGATGAATGATTAACATTCAACATTGTCAATAAAAAAAATCGTATCAGACTTAAGAACATAGGGTCCTTTTATGAATACACTAAGTATATGAAGATTTTTTATGGGAAAAACTACATAATTTTGTGAATAATCCCATAAGTCCACAATAAGATGATTCTGCACACGGCATATCAGAATAACAACAAACTAGCTAAGTGCACCAAAGCCGGAGAAAGAACTTGAAAACATATCTTAGTACCTAAAAAGTAGCTAAGTTTGATCTTGAAAAACGCCGCTAGAGAATCAATATCTGGTCAAATCAAGAAGTCTCATGGTGTCTGTGCTTGTCCTCTTTGGTTCAAGTATCTACACTCTCAAACTAGCTATGTGCCTTACCATCCTTTAGTAAAAAAAAGGTGCACATGGGCTTCTATTCTCCTGCTATTTCATTTTCTTAAATGCCGCTAGCGGTCTCATTAACACACATATACACACACTAGATAATAATTGGGATAGTCTACAACTATTTTGTTTCCCAAATTTAGAATCCCATGGTTCTAACCAGTAAGAGTACAGTCCGGAGTTTTTTTGTTTGTTTGTGGGTTGACTGACAGTTGGCATGAATGATCAAGCCCCAACATCTCCCTATCGTCTAAAACAAGCGGTCATCTACCTTTTTTCTGTTTTGGGAGCACATTTTTTATCAAGCACATTTTTTCCTGAAGAGATTGATGGAACTACATCTAATGTACACAACATGATTAATGCGCCTTCAATTCTAGAGCTTTAAAAATATGCTTGGTTCACATTACAACACATATTCATATTTCATGGTTGTTAAAGAATAATTATTTCTAAGCCAACTAGGTTGCACAAAGTCAAATCAGGACTTGGACAAAGGTGTTCGATGACATGTTTAAAGTGATCAACTACCGAGTTGTACATTTTAAAAACCTAAAGCTCCATACAATCACTAAATCATTCACTTACTCACATCCTGCTAGATCAATGAAAAATGTTCAACATTATAAACTGGAAGATAATTTTTCATATCAAACTTAAGAATATAGGGTCCTTTTTATGAATACACTAATCATATATATGAAGCATTTATGGCAAAAACTTACATAATTTTGTGAATATACTCCTATGAAGCCACAATAAGATGATTCCGCACATGGTGCATGAGAATAACAACAAACTAGCTAAGACTTCCAAAGCTTGAACAAGAACTTAAAAGATGTCTTAGTATCTTATAGACTGTTCATCTCATGTCAGTCACGTGGAGTTTCATATTGGCATTGTTTAAATTTAACATGACATATGCAAATGCTTTCTCAAAATAGTGTCATCTAAATAAACTAGACATTCAAGCTGAATTGGCATCATCAAAATGTTTATGATGGATCCACTTCATTAAGGGGTGTTGTGATGCTCACGACCATACATGAATGTCCATGTGCTTCTTATGGAAGTATCAAACTACACGAGAGCATCAGTTGCATGGTTGTTGCATCACATGGTTCTTTGAGATGTCTGTATAATGGTGCCTTTATTTAAGTGTGAGAAGAGATATGGAATAGGATCAAAGTTTCATAGAATAACCCATCCTTCATACCTAAGGTTGAGCAAGGGATAGAGCTTAATCATTTGTAGATCCAAATTGGAATACATCACATACATAACATACTCAACTATCGGACTCGAATGGGATTACCTTTTTATCTTGTTTTGTACCCACAAACATCCTAGGATTTGGAAGCATCAAGATTAATAACCACTGAAGACGCAAGCAAGCTCGTACTGGATCAGATAGCTGATGAGACTATTACTAACACCTACTTTGGCTCATAGGACATGAATATTGTAGGAATATGTAATCTATAGGAAATGAGATGGCATCTATCTCCAATCCTATGAATAATACATGTATCTCAAATCACATGAACACTAGGAACAAATGAATAGGAAAAAATGTCATTTGGTTCACATGATTTTTTTATTGAGTTTGAATTAATGTTTATTTCATTTGAAATACAAAGGATATGAACTAGAGGAATATGATTATATTCCTGGAAACCAAAGGGCTCTAAGGAAAATTTTCTACAAAAATAATTTCCTATAGAATTCACACAAAGTTTTCTCGCAAAAAAGAAAAATGATTCGTACAAAATTCATGTAAACCAAAGGAGGCCTAAGTGTATCTCCATCCCGGGATATGTTTGAACTTCCACCTGACAATCATAAGTTCCTATAACCAAATGATTTTTTTGAGTGCACTACATCGAACCCTCACCATACATTACTTGCAAACTATTCCTCCAACACCACTGCTTCGGGCCGTGAGGCAAGCTCCTTATCCTCGCCAAGGGGATAAGGAACTTTTTCATACTTGTGGAAAAAGTTGTGTGAATTTTATTTTTGTAATGACGAAGGAATGGGGTTCGATGAGTTTTTGAAGGTACGACAAGGGGATCCGCGACAATACCATGACGACATCTCCATCATCTCATTGGAGGGGAAGATCGATATGGAGATCTTCAGCCTGAAAATTAATCATGATCATAATGGACTGTAGTGATAGCTTACATGTTTTTCTTCACGATTTTCAAGGATTAGCTCGTGAGCAGAGTAGTGCATATCAAATTTTGTACTTGCAGGGGATGATTTTTTTTCTTGTTTGGATCATGCTTTACATGATTGAACACTTGATAGTGAGATTCTTCAGGTAAATCTACAAGTTTTACCCATAAATGCAAGACCGATGGATCAAGATCGTAAGTCTGATTTTGGAAAATGTCGCTAAAGAATCAAGAAGTCTCATCATGTTGGTGCTTGCCCTCTCGCGATGCGAATGATTTCTCAAAATATTGTCATCTAAATAAACTAAACATTGAACCTGAATTGATATCATCAAATGTCTACATGGATCTACAACATTGAGGGGTGGTGGGATACTCACGACCATACATGTTGCCAATGTGCCTTTTATAGCAGTATGTGGAACTACTTGAGAGCATCCATTGCATGGTTGTTGGATCACATGGTGGTGTGATATGTCAGTTTAATGGTGCCCTTATTTAACTGTGGGAAGAGAGATGAAATGGGATCAAAATAACATATCCTTCATACCTAAGGCACAACAAGGGGTAGAGCTTAATCGTTTGTAGGTCCAAATCGGAAGACATCACATAGATAACATACTCAACTACCAGACGTCACATAGAGATTACTTTATGATGCTATTTTGTACCCACAACATCCTAGGATTTGGAAGCATTGGGATATATAACCACTGAATACTTCAACAAGTTCGTCCCGTACTGTGTAGCTGACCATACTATTACTAAGGCCTCCTTCGGTTCACCGGGGAATGTCGTAGTAATATGAAAGCTACAGGAGGTGAGATAACATCCTATCTCAAATCCTATAAATACTATATGTATATCAAATCATGTGAACATGAGGAATCAACATCTCATTGAAGGGGGAGATATGGGTATGTTCAACCTGAATTAATCATGATTGATTGGAGATTGTAATGGACTCTAGCGATAGCATACATGGTGGTATTCCGGTTTTCAAGGATTAGTCCATGAGAAGGGTAGTACACAACAAAATTTTGAACTTAAAAGGGATTTTTTTTTTGTTATTGGTAAAATCATGCTTCATACAATCGAATGCTTGATCTTGAGATTCTTTAGGCCAATCTACAAGTTTTACCCATAAATAGTAAACCAATAGATCAAAATTGTAAGTTTGATTCTGAAAAATGTTACTATAAATAGTATGTCTTAAAATGTGCACGCTTACCCTCTTTGGTTCAAGTATCTCTTCGGGTACCTCGCCCTCCCTGCACTTTAAAAACTGCGTAGAGGCTTCTTCCCTCTCGCTGTTTCACTTGTGAAACACCGCTGGCAGTTTTAGTAACATGCGAGACAATCCGTAACCCTTTTACTTTCCAATTTTAGAATCGTCTGGTTCGGACTTCTTATCAAAACCGAGCCGGACCTCTCTCAACAAAGGGAACATTTGCCAAGCTTGGCCATCTCATTTCCATTTTCCATGAATCAAATCGAC